GGTATCAGAGAGGGTTAGCACTGTGGACTCTTACTACAGGCCATGCTATTCTATAATTTAGTCCACTTTGAAGTATTGGTATCGCTCTCTTGCCTACAAAGCTCTGCAAGGTGTAGAATATCATGAAATGTCAATAAACCTGAATGTTTTTCTTTTTTTGCTACTGTTGAAATTTCCATTCCAGACCGAAGGTTTAGATTTTTATTTGATGTCCATTTTGTAGACTTTATTTTCTGTTTCTGACCTGGATTAGCTCGTACAGAACAAAGGTTTGATAGCAGTGCTGTGTGAATATAGTGGTAGTGACGGTGAGCAGGTGAAAAGGCGAAGATAACCACTGTATTATATATCTGGCCTAAACTGCACAGTTTCCACCTCGGAGCTAAAAGTTAACGCGGTTAATTTATCATTCGACTTATTGTTCTTTTCTGTCATTATTACCAATGAAATGTTTCTACATGAACATGACGTCACGTGTTTGTGTTGAGGACAAGTGTCAGCCTTTTGTCTCGGCTGACGGGATTAAAACAAAGAGTAGAAAAATGCCTTGACTTTATTAATTTTTCTTTTTTTAATCCATCACTGGGTTCCACGTTTACAGCAGCCAGGACGCACTTAAAGGAGAAATCTGGTATTTTTCAGTCTGGGTCTTATTCTCATAATTCTGACGTGTGTTGGGGGGGAACAGCACAAAGCTCCGAATGCTTTCTGTATAAACTTTAAAGTCACAAAAGTCATTTGAAACACTCGTCTCAGAGTTCAGATTAAAGACAGTAATGGCTGAAGAGCTGCCTGTTCCAGGAGTCCAGTTTATTTTCTGTCATTGTTTAAATTTTTTCAATGACAGAAAAATCTGCCGATTAGTGCACAGAGCGGTCTGCTTTAATTTGATGTAACTCACACCTGTCGTCCAGTTGGTGGCGTATGAATATTAATTAGCTATTTTCTAGTCGTGTCTTTAAACTCACGTGCATGACCTCGTTGTCTTGCTGGCTTTAGCCATTGATTGGCTGTGTCGCTACATACCATCGCAAAATGTCACAGTGTCTTAAGTCTCTTTGCAGGGTCAATGTCCATGCCCTTATAAACAGGTGTAGTGCTGCCACAGTGCAGCTGAAGGGGAGGAAACAGACTTTTCGCAGTTTGCATAATCTGGTTGAACTTCATTTTTTAAGTGTTTGAAGATCCAGTCATCACTGAAGTGTCTGTCATGCAAGAGAAAATAAAAACCAATGGTCAGCGTTGTCATATTGACATTTAAGGTGTGTTGATTGATTCACGACGTCAACTCATGCACTGAGTAACACGCAGGAAAACATTCGACCTTAAAAGTTGTCGGTAGCTTCTGGCAGTAGGCTTTGAGTGGCGCAGTGAGTTAAATTAATTTTTCTTAGTCTATAGCTGCTAACGTGAACTATTAAAGATGAAACGGCAGCCAAACATCCTTTTATTTATAGTTACAGTCGACTAATAAATGTAAACTTGCCACTGTAGAAACAGCAGTTGTATAACCTTCGAAAACGAGCCACAGTTTGACCATGTGTGTGCAGCATAGGTGCATTTAACCAATAGCACCACATCCTGGTTATGAATGCAGAATCACAAAGCCTGTTTTGTATGTATTAATTTTAGAAAATGAATGAATGAAAATTAAATGCTGTTAAATATGTTTGATTATCATTGAAAAATTAAAATTAAAATGACAGATGTAAAAACAGATCTATGCCGTTTCATTTCCCCCATGGGACCTTGTTTTGGGAAAAAAATATGCACAGTAATCAGTTTTTTGATCCTGCTTGAATTTTGCTTTACATTACACGTTTGTAAATTTAGAAAATAATTTTGCAAGCCAAGAAAGTCGCAGTTTGTCCCAGTACTATTTAGTTTTATGTCAAACGGCTCAGTGATCCACATCTCTGATCTCACATGATGCATGTCACCAACACGGATGTTACCTTGGCACAAATGTAAACTTATCTTACCTGATGCGATTTATCCAGAGACTCCCGGTGTTTTTATCAGCCGGGAAGCAAAAGAACGACCAAAACCTGTCGATGTTCGTCGGAGTACGTCCTGGTATGAAACACACAGGCATGGTAGCTTCAGTTAGAAAGTTATGACTTCACTTACGCATCTTGTGTCATCTTTCTTCGTCATTCTTTAACAGTTGTACGACAAACTGCAACTTATTTGACTTGGAAAACTTATCTTTTAAATTGGCAGTCGTGTGTAATTCATGGCGCAATCCAAACGGGATCAAAAAATTGTCTTGTCATTGACTATTGTACAAGTTTATTCCTGTAAAAGGGTCCCATGATGGTCTGCGGAAAGGGGAGGGACTTTGCCTCCCTATGTGACATGACTGTACTTCAGCCAAGTCAAAGAGAATAGTTTGGACTCAAAAAGTGTTTGAAATATTTCTGAATAATTGAAGTTTATTTGGAGAGTGTAGGAGGCTCGTGCTGTGTGTCCCAGCATGATTTTTTGGGGAGCTTCTTGAACCTACAACAGATGAAAAGTGTTAAAGACTCAGAGTCAGTCCTCAGATTAAAACCCAGGCTGAAAATCTCTGTATTTTTTCCTTTAAATGTTTTACGTGTAACATTCAGCTGATAGGATAAACAAGTAGCTGTTCCCCACTTGTCTATTTGAGGCTTTACTCAGATGCATGTCAGTTAATCGTGTACAGTTAAAGATCTCCACAGAGACATGACGCCAGGCACTGGAGTCTGGACGGCGAAACACTGAGAAAGCCAACATTAGTTTTTGTATTCTCCTCCTCTCCCCGTCTCTATGTACTAGTAAAAGTCTGGATCTTATGATTTACCTGCATCTCGGTGACAGTGAAGGGGTCGTGTCCTCACCTGTGTCCGCCTTACTCCGGTGCGTCTGCGCTGGAGCGTCCACATCGTCTGCTTTTGGGTGTTTTTAAAAAAGGTTACAAAAAAAAAAGGTTGTAAAATATCATCAGCCTTGTGTACAGTGGAATGCTTTTCAAAAACAACCACCACAAACAAAAAACCATAGGATAACAGACTAAAAATGTACAATACTGTTTATTCAAGTGTTTGCTTTTACTTTTCGTAAATTCAATATAATAAATAAGTTAATGGCTGCTGCTCGGTGTCTCCTCATTGATTTATCAGCTGTTTTCAGACTTTCAGGGTCGTGAAAAAGACTCGGTAACAAAAACAAACAGAAGACTTCAGAAGATATTACAGAAGTAGTGAAACCACACTTTGAGTCAATTGATTCTGCACAACACTGACCCAGAATGACGACGTGAAAATATTTGTATTTGAATTTTGTGGCAAATTTATTAAAACACATTACATTTGAAATGTACATGCTGTACCCAGTTGGACTGAAGAATGAACTGATTAGATACTGGTGGTCAAAGCTCACTGACATGGATGGAGACTGTAAGCAAATCTGCCTGGTAAAATAAAGGTTAAATGAAATAAATAAAAGTGCAGCTCTGCAAACAACCGCAACACAATAATTCTATTTTTGTTTTGTTAATTTATTTTAGTAACTCTGAATCTGAAATCGACGTGCTGCATCCACTTGGGTTTTCTTCTATTTTTTATTTTTATTTTATTTTTTTTATCAGCAACATTTCCTCAAACTAGTCCAGCGTTGAGCGAGAGCTCTGCAGCCAGCAGACATGAAACTGAAGTAGAAGCACACAGTAAGAAGTACACAAATTCAAGAGCTAATTTTTTGGTGCTTTAAGAGCCTTTTGTTTGTTATTTCAGGGTACAGTGAGTCAGACTAGCAACATAATTAGATATTTTTCATATCTAAACATCATAATAAATCTGTAACTGTTGAGAAAGCTCCAAGCAATCAACCTGTTCTGGCCTCCAAATCTGTCACACACCAATCTGATTAAGCATCTTGGGATGTGCTGGTACCCAACCTCACAACTGACAGGTCTCAAGTGATCCGAAGCCAGCACCCTGGTGCCAGACACCACAGGACACCTTCCAGAGGTCATGTGTCCATGCCTTGACATGTCAGAGACAAGTCTGATCCAAGGAGGCCCCACTGTGGATCTGGGGTACCAGCACGTCAGATTTGGATCTGGGGAATTTAGAGGCCGGGTCGATGCCTTTAGCTTTTTGTCATGTTCCTCGGGCCATTCCTGAGCAGTTTCTGCAGTGTAGTGTGAGGCCTTTTCCTGCTGGGAGGCCACGGCCATCAGGGAGTGCTGCTGCCATGAGGAGAGATACTCCATCTGCAGGGGTGTTTGGGTGGGTGGAGCACATCAAGAGGCATCTTCATCAATTTGTGGACCAAAAGTTTCCCAGGAGAACATTGTATTGTAACAAGATGAAAAATGTTCATGTTCACTTCACCTGACAGTGGTTCTAACTTTTTGGCTGATCAGTGTATATGTACACACACACACACACACACACACACACACATTTAAATCACAATGTAATGCTAGGCAAGGAGCAGGTCTGTATAATTAAGTCGTATAATCAAACAGAATAAACTACATTTTGTCTTTAAGTTAGTTCATTTCAGGAAATCTCGTTGGACTCAAGATGCCTTTTGCAAAAGAGACCTGAGAACAAATTATTTAGAGACCAACAACTGTAGGTCTGTCCCTACCAATATTTATTGAAATGTAAACTCTGGTCATGTGAACTCCACATGAAGTTAACCTGTAGACCGTCTGCAGTGTTGCCAGGTTTGTGTGTTTCAGTTCAGTAGAGTCTCATCAGTCCACATAATCCCCTCAGTGATGCAGCTGAGTTGACTCTCTCTAGCAGTCAGTGCAGAAATCACCAACAACAGAGTTTGTCTCATATTCTACGTGCACTTTGATGATCCGTCAGTTATGATGGTGGTGTGTGTTTCTCTGTTGTTGGATTTGCTGCTCAAATTAAACTGCAACTGTTTCAGTAACAAAGAGAAACAGACATTTATTGAGGAAAGTTCAGACTCAAAAACCTGCTGATGATCCAGTAAAGACACTCAGAGCAAACTGACTTCATCAAGCAGAGGTTTTATTAATGATTCACAGAAAACGGCTCCAGTCAGGATGATTTCATGTAGAACATCAGAATATATATCAATCACTGATAATATGGCTTGTTAAAGACACAGTGTAACATAAATGACCTGTGTCATCTGAAACATTTTAACTAGTCATCTCAAGCATGAATACACACCAACACACCAGGATATATAGATGTGCATGAACACACATCAACACACCAGGATATATAGATGTGCATGAATACACATCAACACACCAGGATATATAGATGTGCATGAACACACATCAACACACCAGGATATATAGATGTGCATGAATACACATCAACACACCAGGATATATAGATGTGCATGAACACACATCAACACACCAGGATATATAGATGTGCATGAACACACATCAACACACCAGGATATATAGATGTGCATGAATACACATCAACACACCAGGATACATAGATGTGCATGAACACACATCAACACACCAGGATATATAGTATATAATAACATTGATCAGAATATAAATCAAATGTAAATACATCAGACATTGTGTCTAAATTCTGTGACATCCTCTGTACAAACTGATTAACATGAGAAGGAAACATCATGGTTAACTACTTTATATGTTCAGTACAGTTTATATTATATATGTCTCAGTGTTGTGTTACTGTCCCACCACCAGTTTAATGAGACTTCTGTCAACATCAGATTGAATCACAGCCTTGTACTGACTGAAAAACACATTAGAAAACCTTAAAAACAATGAACCTACACAAAGAAACTAAAGAAAAATAAATGTCTTGTTTAAAGATAGAGGAGGGGAGCTGCTGTACTCAACATCAAACAGCAGGGGGCGTCCTCACTCCATTTAAAACCAGAGCTGTTGATCCAAACAGTTTTCTAATCTGTACAGTGAAGTTAAACTGTAAGAACAAAAACAAACAGCCATTAAATATCACAGAGGGCGCTGTTTGAGGAATTACACATCTGATATTTAAAAGGTGATTACATTTGAATGTTCTTATGTAGTTATTACATCAACATCACACTTAATATATACAGAATGAAACACATTTCACCAACATTGTAGACTGTGTTTTCTACACAGCTGACCCCCCATTATCTTTCTGTTAATCTACAACGTACGTCACTGCTGCTTTAACTGCTCTACCAGCTGCTGTTACTCTACCAAACCCGTACTTCAGTGCTGCTTTGACTCCTTTATTTTTATCCATTTCATCTTTCATCTTTTCCAGTTTCTTGACTTTCTCTGTGTCTCCTTTCTCCTTCATCTTCTCAATCAGGAAGTCCAAATTGACAAAAGTGGACAGTGACTTCACATTCAGGGCGAGCTGCTCCAGTCTCTCAACATGCTGGAACGACTCTTCCAGCCACTGATCTTTTTCTTTCTCAAGTTCCTCGATGTTGTTCTGAAGAGATTCCAGAAGGCTTGTTGACTCCTCACAGCCTGCTTTACCCTTTTCAAACTTGTCTTTCATGTCCTGTTTGGTCTTTCGTACTTTCCTTGTCCTGCTCACATACTTCCACATTTTTTTAACATGATCTGATTTCTTTGTTTTACCCTCACATACAGGACATTGTTTGCCTTCCTCATGACCTAATGCACAACAGTCATCCTCACATACAGTGCACTGTTTTTCTTTCACATGAACTGATACAGGACACCTCCCAGTACAGACAGTACAATATAATTTTTTTTCATGATCCGATTCACGATATTTATCCTCACATACAGGACATTGTTTTCCTTTAACATGAAATGATACACAACACTTTCCCTCACATTCAGTGCATGGTTTGCCTTTCTCATGATCTGCTACAAAACATTTATCCTTACATAAAGTGCATATTTTTTTCATGACCTCACAGCTCTCTGGAGACCAGGCCAGTGTGCATGGATAGTGACAGTTCTCCTTGCAGACAGTGCAGCAGACAGCTCCTCCATAATTTAACCCAAGTGCCCACCATCTCCTCTCACTGACAGGTTCTTTAACTTTGTAGACCTCCTCAACTTCTACAGTGAACTTTTCATTGTTCTTTATCTTCTTTTCATATTTCTTCAGAGCTTCCTGATTCTGCTTGATTTCACTCTGTTTCTTTTCAATAAACTCAATTCTCTCTTGCAGGTTGTGGATGCAGGCTGCTAGTCTAATCCGCTCCTTCAGAACCTCCACAGTTTCCTTCAGCTTTTGAGATTCAGTTTTTTCGAGGAAGTTTGTGAACTGACTCAGTCCTTTCATTGTTCTTTTATCTGCTTGTTGAAGAGCTTCTGTCTCCTCTGTCCTGTCTTCATGCTGGCAGTTATCAAACAGGAAGTGAACAGGCTGATTCTTCTCATTTTTGGCACATCTAATCTCTGCAGTCTCGATGGCTTTCAGAACATTTTTAGGAGTTCTTCCATTTGAGTGTGTGATGAGGGCAACAATGTTCTTCTCCATGTTTTTTCCAAACAGAGACACTATTGAATCAAAGATGTACCTCAGTCGGTCATCCAGTCGATTCTCACTTGCTTTCATCACCAGACCCACTGCATTTATCTCATGAACTTCATCGTTTGAGCGGAACAAGTCTAATAACCTTTCACTGATGATGATATCATGATCAGTTCCTCTGGTGTCTCCATATCCAGGAGTATCGATGATGGTCAGAGAGTAGGGCAGAGTTTGATCTTCAAAACCAATTATCTCGTACACGATCACATCTGTTGTCTGACTTTCACACTGACTTTTCTCCTCACCCTCAAAGTCAGTCACATCTGATGTTGGACTTTCTGATTGACTTTTCTTCTCGTCCTCTACGATCTGAAACCAGACATTGTCCTCCCACTTCACTCCCATGGTGTAGTTGACCAGAGTGTTGACCAGAGCAGATTTTCCTGCTCCTGTTTCACCCACAAGCAAGATGGTTTTGTTTAACTTGTTTGGATCCTTTTCACCGAGAGTCATTCTTGTCAGAGTTCCAATATTCTCTTTCTTTGGTTTCAGCTGGTAAACATTAGGAGATCCTGGTCGGATCAGAACTTTGCAGGTGATGTGCTCATATTTGGATGAGGTTTCCCTGTAGAAAAGGAAAGACAGTAAAAAAAACAACTGCTAAACATGGAATTAAATAAATAAAATAACTGTACTTGCTGGGATCTTTTAGTAAAAGCCTTTTAGCCTATGAGTCTACACAGTATATACAAACTAATCATCTACAGGCCGAGCAGTTACACAGTATCTGATATTAGGGTGATAAGTTCAGCATTTAAAACTTACAGCCTCATCACCAAATAATGTTGTGTGTGTCTGCTACCTGCCACAAAGCACCTCCACTGAACATCATCTAAAGGTTGTATTTGGTCAGCAACATATCTGTGCTTTTGATCAGTGTCTGAGCTCCATTTTAACATTACAATTTGCAGCCACATTGCATCCCTGTGTGCAGCGCAATGCACATACAACTGGCATTGTGTCAGCTAAATAACATAGCACCACATTTAGAAACAAACCATATGATTGGTTGACACGTCACTGCATCATTGGAGAGTTGAAAAAGTTGAGGTCAACCCAACTTCAATTTGTTGCGCGTCACAACCGTCAGCAGTGTCAGACGTCAGTTTGTATCTTTATGTCATTAGCTTCTATTGAAAATGACTTGTAGCCTGTTGCTGTGTCGCTCCAAGAGTGAATGCATCATTAGAGACAGTAGTATTACTCACTTTGCCATGGTAACAGTTTCACAGGAGGATAAGGATGGAGCACCTTCATATGAGTTCTCTGGATGAAAGAAGATAAAGTCAGTAACGTACACGTCCTGTCAGCTGTACTGTTGTCATAAGATACTGTATCATAACTGACATGATTAAAGAGTGGAAACACAGTTCTTCAGCCTGTGTCCACCTCCTACACACAGTTTAAAATCAGCCACAGTCAGTTTCATAACCCAAATATTTACCAGCTCACTGGTCACATTAAGTTTTTTATTTTTTAATAATAATTTTGTTTTTACCCTACACAGACACAGACATCTACAAAATGTTTTAATCACCAAATGCACTCAAAGCAAAATTGAAACAAAGTGGAAGTAAAGGCATCAAAGCAGTTTGACGTGGCTCGTAACACATCAGACGCTTTCAGGACATGTGGGAGTTCAGAGTTAAAATTGTTCCAAAGATCTGCTGCAGTTACTGCTGAAATATTGTCTTTCTGTCTTGTAGAAAAAACATCCATCTCAAAATCAAGAATTTATGGTCAGTGTGTTAAATTAAGCTTCAGTCTCTCTCATGCTCTCAGAATGATTAGATGATGAATTAAACCTTAACTGAAAACAAATCTTAGTTCATTCAAAGCTCTTATCATTTAAATGTCATTCTAATATAAGATATGAATGACTTATGAATGTCAGATAGTATGTTCAGTTATCAGTTATGTGCATAAAATGCATCAAGATAATGTATAATTATGCATTTTTTTATTTGGTATTAACTCCTGATCTTAACATTTTAAAGTATTTCATAATTACTGTCTTAAAGTCTTCTTACCTGTGTTGATGGTCCCGGGTACTGAGGAGGCAGAGAGGACAGGTGCTCAGCTTTTATATCAGCAGAGGGGTGGAGACTCTGTGGTCACATGATTTTACAGAAACAGTCTCATAAACAAACAGCTGAGTCACTCTACTGACCAAGTGATCTGAAGTTACGAGGACAGAAACAAACACATTTGCATTAATAAAAATGTTCTTGTATTCTGTCAGAAGGGTTCATTGTCAGCAGTGTCAGCATGTAGTGCATACTACATCACATGTTGTAATCATTTATCTTCTTCACTGAGTTACTGCAGCTATACATGAATTTCCTTTTGGGGTTCAGTTAACATGTATTTTATATCGTATTATGAGTATCAAACTCTGAGATCTCTCCTCCCTCCCTTCACGTTCTGTTTTTCTGACAGTTTGAAGTCAGACCATTTCTCTGAAATCACGTGACAACAAGACCTCCGAAAACACTTTTCAACAACAAGGTAATTCAATGTGCCTTCCATAAGACAGAAATGCATTAAGTAAAGGTATAAAACACCAGACAAGTTAAAAAACAGACAATATTAAAATACACAAATAGAATTTAAAACAAGAGTTAAGTAAGATAAAAGAAAATATAAAAAAATAAAATAAAATTGAATAACACAAAGGGTACAATACTGTTACACTGCAGAAAGAAATGAATAGTCCAATGATCCTAATAAAAGAAAAAAGTTTTCAGCCCAGATTTCAAAGAACTAAGTATTGAAAGAGATATCAGCTTTTCTGGGAGTTTTTTCTTTTTACCAGATTTGTGGAGCATAAAAACTGAATGCTGCTTCTTCAGTTTCAGTTCGGACACTGAGGTCATAAAGCAGACCTGATCCAGACTATCTGAGATGTCTGAATGCTTCACAACACGACAGCAGATCAGGAAAAATGCAGTGCTTTGTAAACCAACAATAGTATAAAATAAATTCTGTCACAAACAGGAAGCCAGAGCAAAGACCTGGGACCTGCACTGATGTGGTCTCTTCTTGTCTGAAGTCCAGTTCAGACCAAAAATTTGCAACCAGACAAATTGAATCTTGCAACACACTGATCTGCAATGTTTTGAAAAACTGCCAGTTTACACCAATACAAGACAAGATGGTGTATCGTTTCTATCGCAACAACTCTCTGTACTTAAATTCTGACTTTCAGCTTTTCAGACATATTTTGAGGCTGAATATAAATTGTAGCTTCTTCAAATCTGAATGAGGATAGTGACAGTGAGATACTGGCTACAGCTGAATCTCTCGTAGTGATGAACCAGTGAAAACCAAAACAAAATGACCCGAGCTTCAGATCGACAGTGTTCATTATAAATACACCACAATAATTCAAATAACCAGTGTAACCAGAATGGTCTGCTGGTCCCAGCCACACTGAGACAAGACAAGTCTTGTTTGTATTTTGTTTTGGGATTATCAAGTTTTATGTGATAGTTATCACATTTCTAGCTTCCTGGTTTACTTCCACAGTATGACTGATTATACAAGTTACTGTTGCCCCATGATTTCCCACTGGGCTTGTAGACTTTACATTGTTTTGATGTCACAGATATTTGACTCGCTTTTTTCGGCTTGAGGAAAGTTTCACAAATATAAAACTTCCATGGATAAAAATAACCACGATAGACAGGGTCATTATTGATCTTGTTTGCAGTGCGAGGTGTCCTGTGAACCATTTTACAGACATCTCTTTATCATGGTGGTCTATGGGGAAAGTGCTTTTTGGGCTGCAGGGGATTTTTTTAGCTGCAATACCATTAACGGCCACTATGAGGAGCTGAATTATCCACAGAGGTCTCTTCTTCTCCAAAACAAACAGACCAGCTGATTTACACCAGTAGAAACACTCAATAAGGACCTTTAATGTTACGAAACAGTGTTTTTCCAATGCTGTTTGGCTCATTGTAGAGGGGCTGCTAACTACTTTGGCCAACGTGAAAACATCAGTATCTCTACCGTAGAAACATGGCAGTGCAACATGGTGATCTCTGTAGAGGAGGACCTGCTGCCTGTGTAGATACAAATGTCTCATTCTGAGGTGACCACAACAGTGTATCCCCCTGAATCCTCCACACTGGACCTTTAAAGAAATGTATTTTGACACTGACAGCGTCAGCCAGCAGAGCCTTGTCCTTTTGTTGCTGCTGGTTTTCTCCCTCTGTCCATGTTAATGGGTGCTGGATACTAACTGCCACAGCTCACACAGTAAACTCAGGAGAGTGATATCAGTCAGCCTGAGTCATATCACATCCTTTCAGTTTCAGTTGTGATGGCAGATTGCACCAGTCGTGTCTCAGGCTGCTGTTGATGCATAACCACAAGACCGGCTCACCAGGAAAACCCCCAAACTTGCCGATGGCCAGGCCGCACCTGTGAGAGACTCTCACATTTACAGTGCTTCTGATAATAAAGAGGACCACACAGTCTGTAACACTATCATCATTTTTATTGACACAACACTGGCAACACACCACCTTGTTTTGTCCTAATAATTCACTACAACAAAGATCAACAAGTTATATCTACTCTGTGCTGAGATCAATAAATATACTGAGAACATAAAATAGTTGATCAGCAGAATCAGCAGTCCCATCAGACATGACTGAGATCAGGAAACATACAGTGTGAGGAAGAGTTACCAGGCTGCAGGAACACAATAAATACAAAGTCACTTTAACACCATCTGTGGATCATTAATTAGCCCATATAATACAAAAAGATATCATACATATGTACACATACACTCACTGTTCTCAGGTCATGAAGTTTATTTAAAGGAGCTGAAGCTCAGCTGAACCTGCCAGCAGGATCTCTTCATCTGCACCACAGCTAACCTTGCTACATGCTAAACACATTTAAAGGGCCAGACCTGTGTTTTTATGTAGTTTAACATATTTACTACGATTCAAACGTGCTGACTGGTTTTCAAAGGCACACCTCAGTGCTCATATGGCCACCCACCAGCTCCTGGCTGTACGTTTGGACAGAGCCAGGCTAACTGTTTCCAGTCTTTATGCTAAGCTAGGCTAACAGCTGCTGTAGCTTCATATTTACTGTACAGACAATCTGAACATCGGACTCTATGAGACGAAGATATATTTAAATGTTGAACCGTTCCTTTAAGGTCAAAGACATTTTTAAACTCTACAGCTTTAAAACAAAGTTCAGCAGTGATGTAAAGTTGAACTAAAACACAGGTATGGTCCTTTAAAGGTCACTTCTCTTGGTCTTGTTTTATATTTACAGTTCATGGAGGGGTGACAGATACATTTTCAAGGTGACAGGTTTTAAAAATGGCACATCTGGAACCATTCGAACAGAAAACAGAGAAATAAAAACCGTTGAGGACTCAACAGCTGCACATGAGACAAATAATAATCACATCACTTTCAAACACAAAGGAAATCAAATTAAATTAGAGGCAAACAATGACCAAACTATTTTAATCTAAGAGGCAACTGATTGTTGTTAAACTATAATCACTTCTACATACTTTATATTGAAACTTAAATATAACTTAGTGTATTTTACTTTGAAAGCCATCTGTCTGAATTTACACTCTGTGGTTAATATTTAATAGAGTTCACAAATAAAAATAATTAAGTTGTTTGTATTCAACGTGTCAAATTCTGATTAAAATCTTAAGAGTAATTTAACTGGAGATCTTGTTTATGTATATATATATATATATATATATGTATATATACACACACGTACATACATATATGAAAATTCAAACCACATAAATTTTGACAGATGGTTTTCAAAGTAAAATACAAGATTTTTTTAAAGTATAAATTGTGATTAAATTCAGTTGATTTTGAGATTTAGATTATTAGAGCATAGACTTTATTAGCCGCCATGTTGGAGCTGCTTCGCATATGATTAGGATTAAATGAGTTGAGACCTTCAGATAACGTGAAGATTATTATTATTATAAATAAACCAGCAGCTCATCAGATGCAGCTATCGATCAGGTATAACTCAGGTTAATCAATGACTGTTTCTATCATGATGTACAGATAAATAAATCAACAACATAAACATTTAAAGAATAACAAACATAAATAAAGTCGGTGACTTGGTGGACCTTCACTGAACCTTTCATTAAAGTGACGTGTCGACATGCAGCTGCTGCACGCTCATGCTCGGACTCCTGGTCGTGACATGCAGCTCACACAGTAAACTCAGGAGAGTGATATCAGTCAGTGTGCATTCATATCAGAGGGTTTATGGAACTGTTACATCATTAATATTCCTTCAAAAGTGCCTTCATTTACCTGCAGACAAGCCGGACGTGAAACCTGACGCAAAGACATTTCCAGATGACGTCACTGATAACACGTGACCTGTGTTTATTTACCATGCATCCTGGGAGATGAGACAGCCACTGAGCTGTGAGATGGAGGTCATGTTGTACATTCACTTCCTGTTGACGGCGACGTTCGGTTAACAGCTCCCCTTCAGACGTCGTCGAATATTCGGCTCCGAGACGACGACATGGACAGATATCGTCCTCCTGCGTGTCTGAAAAATACAAAATGCACAACTGAAAACACACAAGTCACACAGAGAACACTGTTGCCGACATCACACCTGCAGACACACCTTCAGTTTTTAAATGGAAGCTGAGAGAGTCAGAAGGACCGGACTCCAACTCTCTGGGGACATCGACTAAATAAGGTTTTCCGTTGTCATTTGATATCAAACCCACTCTGGTCGTGTCGTCTACAAACTGAAGGTGTTCAGTTGTGGGTGGGACTGCAGTCACTGGTGAAAAGAGGGTAATGAAGTGGGCTGAGGACGCAGCCTTGGGGGACACCAGAGTTGAGGATAATGGTGGAGGAGGTGGGGCGGCCCACCGACTGCTGGGGTTTGTTTGTTAGAAAGTCCTTGAGCCACAGTAGAGGTTGGCGACATGGCCCTAAAATAATATCAGGATATTTCAGGGTACTTTTACCCCTGAGCTTGCCTGAGAAGGACTAAATGCACAAAGCTGCT